CCTGCAAGATTGGCTGTGTCCTCTGATCAACTTCCACCTTCCATGGAGGATCAGGTATGCAGGGGCAGGGTGGTGGTGCTTCAAAGTGATCTGTAGCTGTCCACTGGGTGCACTGGCCCTGAGGTTTCCTGAGTGGTACAGGCCAAGGTCAGCCTCAACCTGTGTTTTGCCCAGATCCTCCCTTCCTGAGCTATAAAGCAACTTGAGAAGGCTGCTACTTGTGCTGGGCTTGGAGATTCCCAGGTGAAGCAAAGCTATGAAACTAATCTGGTTGCTGCTAGTGTCTGGCCTGGCGCTCACTGAGACCAGCTGTTGCTTGTTTTAGAGGATTTAGGAAGCCATGAAGCATAAGCAAAGACCAGTTAGGAAGCCATGAAGCATAAGCAAAGACCATGGAAAAGCAGCTTGGGTGGGTCCATAAATTGGGTGGGGCAGAGTCTCTGAGGATCTCCAAGTGGGTCAAACAGTATTAGCCCACCTATATGGCACCAGCCTGCTGGCTCCGTGGCTCTGCAGGGGAAGAGCTCAGAAAAGGGATGATGGCCTCTGCTCACCCCAATGCCGGACACTTCAGCCTCTCCCAGTACGTCACTGGTGCCGATCAAGCTGCCACCCAGCACTGGAGCTCAGAGGGAGTGAGTCTGTGTAGGTGAGTCTGTATGTGTGTTTATTAAGAGGAACTGCTTGGGACTCCAAAAGTTTCTTCCACGGACCCCTGTTTTGTTTTGTTTTTTGCAGCTAAAAGTTGTGGGGACTTCTCTTCCTGGCACTGGAACTCTGGGCTTGGAAGCCTGATGTAGGGCTGGGACTCCTCTCTCCCAAGACATCCCTCCTGAATTTTCATCCTCCACACATGGGTGAGGGACCAGACTGTTCCGCATCTGCGCCCCTCCTACCAGTCTGGATAGATGTGGTTTCTTTAATTCCACAGTTGTCAGACTTCCATTCAACTCCATTTCAGATGTTTCTGAGTGGTAGTTATTCTATATTTTAGTTGTAATTTTGATGTGGTTGTGCAAAGAGGTGAGCCATGGCCGCCAGTTTGACTGGAAGCCTCTCACTCCTGGTTCTCTATTCAGCATGGTTCTAAGTCCCCTTGCCTACCATCCTGAGTACATTCCTCTGAATATATTCCCCGTGATTCTTACCACCCTTAAGTGGGGCTTTAGAATAAAATTTTGGATGATTTTGTGTTAAGAAGAGGCCAGTACCTGTGTACAGACATGAACAAATATGGGCAGTATTCACCGGGGCAGAGTTTGCTTTCATCAGCGACCTTGTCCCGGTGACCTACTTTAGGTGATCCAACATTCATGTGCTCCTGACACAGCAATGTCCTCTCAAGGTCCCACGGAGGGTACAGAGATGAATCAGAGAAATTCCCCCTTCTCAAAAAACTGAGAGCAGTAGAGATAGACAGTGTAACTCAGAGGAAGGAGAGGTCACAGTGTTAGGGATGTAGAATATCAAAGAGACTTGATCAGGAACTTGAAAGACTGGCAGGAGGAGGCTCTTACTAGCCACCAGCAGTGCCACTAGGAAGGAAGGGATGGAGGACAGAGATGTTATAAAAGGACTCTATAAGGCTGAGAGATTTGCTGTATATGGCAGACCAAAGAAGGGAGGGACACACCAAAATGTCCTTGAGGGCACCCCTGGGCTCCTGGGTCAACAATGTGATGGGAAGGGAAGCTGAGAAGTCGAGGCAAAGAGTTGGCTCAAGGGAGAGAAGGGCAATCTAGGTTTGTTTGGAGAGTGTGAAAGGTAGTGGATGGGGCTGCCCACCAAGGGGGTCAGAGATAAATGCCTGGAGCTGGAGACGGCAACCTGGGCTGTTTGGACAAAAGGAGAAACTCTCCTGAGCTGCTAAGGTTCCTGACACCTGCAGGCAGGTAGAGAGGTTGAATTAGCTCAGGGGCTCACCCCTGAACAGGAGCCCTGATTCTCAATAGGAGAATGACATCAGAGGGGTGCGGCATTTGGGAATCTTCAAAACAGGGAAGATATCTTGGATAGAGGGAGTATCTTTTGAAAACAAGCACAATCTATATTGTAAATGAGGTGTCTTTTAATCATAAAATGAGTTTGGTATTTTTTTTAAAAAAATGTTTTAATCCTCCCCTGAGGATATATTTATTGATTTTTAGAAGGGTGTGGGGCGAGAGAGAGAGAGAGAGAGAGAGAGAGAGAGAGAGAGTGGTGGAGAAACATCAATCGGTTGCCTCCCATACACACCCCAACCTGGGTTTGAACCTGCAGCCTTTTGGTGTGCAATGTTCCAACCAAGTGGGCCCCCTGGCCAGGGCTGGTATTTATATTTTTGAAAGTTAAGACAACATTAAGTGAGAAGGCGAAGGATTTTTGAATACTCATTAAATGAAAAGCCATGGATGAGAAAAAGATTGGAAAGATGAGCTTGTGAAGATTATTGTAAGGGGTCATCAGTAGGGACACATTTGATTTTGTTCTTAGGAAGAGGACGAGGCAGAGCCTTGTGTATCACACATAATGGACTACACACGTGCACACACACACAAACTAGTATATAAATTTCAAATGTTCCCATTCTGGAAAGTCCAGAATTCCACCTCGATTTTCTTGGCTTCCCAGCATGGACAGTAGTGGGAACAGAAGTGATGGTCCCTTCCCAAAGCTCTGTCAGTGGCTGCCAGCGTCTGCCCCCAGGGGCCCACAGCCACCCACCCTACACCTTTCCATTTTGCTGGGATTTGAGGAAAATGGCATTTGGAGTCAAAAAACATGGTGGGTGGAGGAGCCTGAAGAGACCCAAGTGGAAAGAAATATTACAAACCAGCACATCAGGAGTGCAGGGCTGGTTAAATGAAAACCAATGGAGTTAGTGTGAGGTGGCTCAAATCTGGACCTGGTCTCAAGTCCAGGCAGCAAACATCTCAGGGAGAAAAAAAAGAATCAATTTGGTTGAAATTACTGTGGCCAAAGCAAACCCAGATACCACATCGTGATGCAGCCACACCACAAAGAGGAACGTGGTGTGCGGATGGGAGAATCACCCTGAGGAAGAGGAGGAGTGCTTGGGAGTGGTGTCCGAGGGAGCCCTGAACCCTCAGGCTGTAAGAGTAAAACCACAAAGTCCAAGTGCCCTGGGCCAGCCACCTACCGGCCTCCCTAGCCCGCAGTCCCGCCTGTGTCTGAGTAGCCTTTCCTGCCACACCTAATAGCCATGGGGGTCCCACAGTGAGAGTTTATTCAGAGTGTGACCCAGCCAGAGAAGTGGCAGACAGACCAGACTTCCATGGCCCTGGCACAGGAAAGGGTCATGGTCACTCCTTAAAACATACGACTCTTAGGGCTTACTCAATAGAAGGAAGCCCAAGAGCCCAATGGACATTCCTGTCCTCTGACAACCCGAAGAATACTTTATTAAAATTTTTGGTTAGGCCACTTGGAGTGAGAAATTGAACTCCAGTAAAAACAGTGGATGGTTTTCATGATGGTTTATAAGTGGATGGGAGTATGGACCAACTTCCCGGCCACCGACATGGGAAAATGTGGCCCCTGGTGCTACAATGGGTTCTGCCACCACCTCGTCAGCCCCTCTTTCCCTCAGGGAGGAAAAGACTGTCCCTGCTGGTCCCCAGGGAACCCCATAAACCCATATTTATTTCTATATGCTAGGGACATTCTATGGGTTATCCCTCAACAACAGTGAGAGGGAAGCACAATTATTCTAATTTTACAACCAAGGAGTAGGTCTCAGGAGAGTGCAGTGACCTGGCCAACTGCACTCCACTGGCGTTGCAGAGGTGGGATCTGAGCCCGGGTCCACCCGACTCTAGAACACACATTCTTGCCGCCATATTGTGCTGCCCCGAAGAAGGGCCAACTTGACATGGGTCTTCGGACCACGGTACATGGGTGGGCTGAGATCTGAGAGCTTCGTTCTGCTGGACACACCCAGTGAAACTGACTAGCACAGCAAGGAAGGAGCACAGCCCCTCGGGTGCTGCTCCCCAAGAGTCTGGCTGCAAAGCCCCTCGGCCCATGTCAGAGCCACGTCCCAGATGCAGGCAGGCATTTGGAGCGCCTGTGGCCACCTTGGGCCCCACCCCAGCCCCTGGAAGGTGGCGGCAGAGGAGACAGCACGCACATCGATGGTGGCGTCTCTCTAGAGAAAACCACATCCCAGAAGCAGGCCAGGACCAACACAGCTGTCCCCAGGGCCCAGTCTGGGCCTCCGTGTCTGGGAGCAGGAGGAAACTCTGTGCCTCCCCCAAGGGGCCAGTTTAAATGAGAGAAAAAACTGGGCACCTTGGCCAAGGCAGTTCTCAGCAGGACCTCCTTTTGACTGGGCTGGAACTCTGATCTGTGTGATTTTTCTCTTGAACAAAATCCCAAGAGTCTGAAGGTGCCAAAAACACAGGAGGGACGTGTTAGTTCTGAGCTGTTCTGAAGGAATTCTAATTTGGCCACCAACACAGCTTCCTTTCGCCAGCCTATGGGGATCACCGGGCAAGGTAAAGGCACTTCCAATGTCAGCAGAGGGCCGTCGGTCATCCCGAGGCTCAGGCCCCAGTGCCCCAGAGGGACCCTGACAGCAACACGTCAGGGCCAGTAACCACCCAAGGTCTTGAGGGCCCGGGCACTTTATCACAACCACATGCAGCCAAACACAGGAAGGAGAGCACTTGATACGGGAAGGTTTATTCACCATTTAATACAGGAGCCCAATTACATTTTTAGAGATTCTGAAGCACTGGAGTAGAACCAAAATTCCAGAAGAGAGACTGGGACAAGAAGAACAATAGTTTAAGTGCAAGAAAATACCACACTGGGGGAAAAAAAGAAAACGGCCTAAGGCACAAACAGGAAGCCACTACTCAGAAGTATCGCTGCCCTTGGATTCAGTGAAACAGCCTTCAGCGGGTCTAGTGCTTCTAGAAGACTGAGCAAGGTGAGGGCAGTCCCAGCCCCGGTGCGAACAGCTCCAACCTCCTGCATTGGGACTCGGGCCCTCAGAATCAGCTCCCAGTGCAGGCTCTGCAGGCTGAGGGAGGCCCACAGGCTGGCGGGGGACAGCTGGGACGAAGGGTGCAGGAGGCCGGTGTAGAGCAGGGATTGCAGGGGAGTCTGAGGGAGACAGGGAAGGAAGAGTTAGACACGAGAAATACAAAGACACCCCAGTGGTGAGGACAGAGAAGCTCGGACCACAATGGTGAAGGGCAGGCCTGCTGCAAACAAACCACGCAGCCCAGCGGAACCTCCTCCGCCAGCCCCTCTTCCACACTCAGCTGTAGCTTTCCATGTCCAGGTGCCCCCCAGGGGGACGTGGCCAAGGGACCCGGCTACCATCCATGTACCAGTCTATCAACGATACAGCGCACACACACCAGCAATGGTCAATGAGTCCCTGAGTGAGGCCCGTTCCTTAGAATGAGCTCTCCTTCCACGAGCACACACACCGGTTATCACTGAGGAATCTGGCAGTCAGGAACGTGGCTTGGCCAGAAACTGCCTAGGTCACACTCACTTGCAGTCCTCGCTCTCCAGCAGGCCTCGGTACGTGGCAATCTCGCACTCCAGCTGCGCCTTCGTGTCCAGCAGCACCTGGTACTCCTGGTTCTGCCGCTCCAGGTCAGCCCGGATCTCGGCCAGCTGCTCCTCCACGGTGCTGATCAGGCTCTGCATCTGGGCCAGCTCAGTGCCGTAGCGGCCCTCGGCCTCACACAGGGAGTTCTGCAGACAGTCCTTCTGCAGTGGGGAGTGGTGGGGAGAGAGGCCCAGGGGACAAAAAGTTCAGGAGTGAAAATCGGGGCCGAACTCACCAGGCAGGAGGCTACGTCCAAGCAGTCACCGGGCATTCCCGGAGCTCCGGAGAAATCGCTGTCAGGGTGACCGTGCGTTTGTGCACACACAAAACAAATCTAACTTGAACTGTGTCATGTCCCCTCTGACATCCCAAGTACTTGACATGAAGTGGAAACCCAGTAAGATCTCACAAAACGAGTGCCTAGGCCCCCACCCCTTACTCTGAAGAAGTGGAATTCACTTTTCATAGGAACCATTTTTCTGGGTCCAACCAGCCTTTATGGCAAGTCCCCTCTGCCAGGGAGAGGGACCCAGACGGAGCTCTAACTGAATGTTAATGGAACCGATTGGGCAGACTGCTCAGAGGTGCCGCCAGCAGGCCACGGCTGGGTGCGGTGAGGGTGAAGGAAGACCCGTACCAGGTTGTGCTGGGCCTGGCGCTCCACCTGCAGGGCATTCACCGTGCATCTCAGATCCAGGATCTCCGACTGGCAGCACTGTAGCTCCTCAGAGCAGGACATGGCCTGCAGGCTGATGCCCTCCGACTGAAGCACAGTGGATCAAACCACACAGATCAGCTCCCTGACTCACACGGAAGCCGGGCTCCCCTGTCCCCCCTCCTCTGCAGCCCCGCCTCACCTGGGCTTGGAACCACTGCTCCACATCCTGGCGGTTGGTCTCCACCATGGCCTCGTACCGGCACCGCATCTCCTCCAGCACCCTGCTCAGATCCACGGAGGGCTCGGTGTCCAGCTCAATGCGGAGCTTGTCTCCCAGCTGGCACTTCAGAGTGTTCACTTCCTGCAGGGACAGAAGAACCCGCACCCTCTGTGAGAAAAGGGCTTCTGACAGAGCACACAGCATCTGCACCCCTCCCCTGACAAGCAGTATGAGGGGCAACCCCACATTCGCGCTGATGTGGAAGGTTCCTGGGGCCCGTGGGAGGAGCGCCCCTGGAGACCTTCCTAAACGCACAAGGCAACCCTTCAGAAAAGAACCTGCCACATCCCACAGAGTCAGCCTGACTCAGGCCCCGATCGGCCCAGGATCCCGATGCCAGTGGAACCCAGGTTCTCATCCTAGAGCCACGGCATTAGGTGGGGAAATGCTCCCTTTTCCGCCCAGTGTCCTCCCCGCTGGACCAGACCTGCTCATGGCTGCTCCTGAGGCAGAGCTGCTCCTGCTTCAGGGACTCCTGCTGGGCCTCCAGGTCGGCCTTGGCCAGGCTCAGGTCATCCAGGAGCTTGTGCATCCCGCACATGTCCGCCTCCACCAGCAGGCGCAGGGAGTGCTCGCTCTCGTGCCTTCCGTCGCAAGAGACGCACGGTCAACAGGGTGCCCACGGGAGCCCCTCTCGGCCGACCCCCGTTCCCACCTCCTCACGGCCTTGGATCCTCATTCGTTCGCTGAGCTCAGTCCCTGGACTCGGAGAGGAATTCCATGCAGCCCCTCTTCTCAAAGGGGCCGTGGTCTAGTGAAGCAGTCACGCGGTTATAATTTTACCACTGTGCGTTGAAGCAACTGTGGTTCAGAGAGGTTAACTGACTTGCCTGAGATCGTGTATCTTAGGACTCAGTACAGGGCTCACGCCCTTGCATGGGCTATTGTTACGTAGGATAAGCAACAGCGGGGGGAGTGGACCTTGATTTGCTCCCTTATTCGTTATGTCGGGCTATTTGGTCATCTCTCATCCTTATTTAGTGGAAATGCCTGGTATCTGAGGTTCTTCGTACTTAAATCGGGACCCTGCCCCAGCTGATCTGTGAAATTCAACGGCTGTCCTTACTCAGTTTACTCTGGACATCTTACTTTGCTCTTGGGTAATGAGCTCAGGCAGCCTTGTCTTCCATTTCTGGGAATAAATGAAGTAGGAGGAATACTAGGCTACGCTATGCATGCTTGGCTTCGTAGTGTTTTTTCTCCTCCACCTTCTGTGAGGTTTCTTAAGTTAGGAATTTAGGGAGCAAGAAACGGAACAGTAACCCACTCATTCAACGAACATGTAGACATTGGGACTCAGGTGGAGGAAGAAGGAGCTACTCGGGCCTTCTTCAGCCCTTACTCACTTGATTTTAAAGTCATCCGCGGCCAGCTTGGCGTTGTCAATTTGGGTCACCAGCCTGGCGTTCTCGGCCTTGCTGCACAGGATCTGGGAAAAGCCAAGAAGACCGTTCACACACAAACATCACACTCTGGGCTCAGCCCTGCACATGTCATCCACACTCCTGCTCCGGAAAACCCAAAAACCGAAAGCTCTTTGAGCCTTCAGTGGTGTTTGCCTGCGATGCCCTCTGCCTCCCCCAGACCCAGCACACCTCAGGCTGCTGCGAACCTCACCTTCTGCTGGAGCTCCTCGATGGTCTGGAAGTAGCACTGGTAGTTGGGGCACACGGTGGTCTCGTGGCACTTGCTCCACTCCCGGATCTTGGTCTCCAGCTCCGCGTTCTCCTGCTCCAGCTGCCGCACCTTCTGCAGGTAGTTGGCCAGGCGGTCGTTCAGGAACTGCATGGTCTCCTTCTCGTGCCCGTTCAGGACGCCTTCACCGTGGGCCCCACAGATTCCGATGTTGCCAGGAATGTGGCAGGTTCCTGGCAAGGGGCAAGCGGTGTGGCAGCTTTGGGGCAGACAGAGGTTGGGTCGGCCCAGAGAGGTCGTCCCCACACGGACACGGTTGGCATGTGCCAGGGTGGCCAAGAGGCCCAGGGAGGCATTCTGGTCTTCTACCCCAAGCTGGTCCTCCATGTCAGTAAGGGGGACACACACATTTCTTTCTCCAGGAGTCTTGGTGCTGTCCAGAGGCCGGCATGAGCTGACGCAGAAGGGAACCATGGTGTGGGCGGAGGCTACACAGGAGTTTCAGAGCAGCTGGAAAGACCAAGAGTCTGAGTCTGCAAACCCCCTTCCCTCCGAGGCCTTTTATACCTCGTGCCAGGTGGGTGTTGGCCCAGTGCTTTGACCTCTCGGCCTTGGTTCTCGGCCTGTCGTTGTGGCGTCATCCTGTTACTCAGCTGTTGAGTTTACCATCGGGAGTTCCTCGCCTCATTAAAGGAACGCCGATGATCTGAGGTGCCTCTTGGCTCTTTGATATCGGGTTGTCTGATGGCGGGAGATCAGATGTTTTTACTATAGTCCCAAGAACAAAATTCCTGTTAGCCATCAGATGTTTACACCTTGACCGGGGGTTGGCCCACCTTGTTGATTTTCCCGCTCTAAGGCATGACTCTTCCAACTGGTCATGGGAGCAGCAGGAGAGATAAACCCCTATGAGTACCGTGGTCCTCTCTGGGTTAAGACTCAACCAGCCCTCCCTGTCCTGGTTCCTGGTTAGTAGCTGTTATGATTTGGTTTATTCGTAAGTTCTACATCTTTCTTTGTTCAGTTGTTTGCATTTCAGACTCACTTGAGGGGCAATAAGATTTCAGTAAGCCCATTTATCCAGCATGCACCTCCTGGCCCATCCTAAACGTGGGGCACTGTGCCCCACACCTGATGTGAAGTCCATCAGGAAGCAGCCACCACTTGGGTGGGCACGGGTGTCTGAGAGGCTCATCAGTGTGAGGGAGACCCTGCAAACCATGCCTGACCTGGACCAAGAAAGGTGAGCTCAGGAAGTCAGAAACAAACCAAAATGAACAATAATCTTTTTAATCCCAAGTAAGAATTTGGCCATGAAACTCAAACATTGGGTTATCAGAGTCACTGCAGGTCCTCTTCCTGCCTTACTTCTTTGATTCTAAAGTCTGTTATGGAACACCTACAGCATGTACGTGTTAGGGGATGGATCAATGATATTGTTTGATTGTTCTCACCATTTCCTGCGAGGTGTGTATTATTATCTTACTTCTAGAAGAGAAAGAAAGAAGTAGGCACCCAGGACCAGAGGTGTGAAGTCATTTTCCTAAGACCAACCCCCTTGTAAAGTGGCCAGGCCTGATCTCAGGTTCAGTTTCTTTGGACTCCGGAGCCTATCCTTGTTCTCGTCAACTTGACCCCCAGCCCACCCCCCACCCCACCCCCCGCTAGGAGGAGAACAACTGTGTCGTTGCCAGAACAAAGAAGGACTAAAAGGTCAACAAACTGGGCAAATCATTGAAATTAAGAGACAAAGCAAGAATCTGGCATCCTATGTCATTTCTCTTCGTGCCTCAGAAAATACAGACGTGAGGGCGCCAAAGCAGTAGGGCAGGGTTTCCCCAAGGGCCACACAGGGAGAGGCCCGGGAGAAAGTTCTATTTCCAAAATTCTTGCACTACAGCCCACTCCCTACTAGCTCTCGGTACCAGGGAACCAAGATAGCTAACTGGTAGAGTTCCAAAGTCTTCTCTCAAAATGTGTAGCAGGTGGTAGTCAGGCTCCTAAGACTGAACTTGACCTAATGCGGAGTACGATCTCCCCCCAAAATGGTAAGAAAATGGATATTTGCCAGTGCTTTGAGCATTGAGCAAAAACTGGACAGACCTCTCTGTAGGGACCAGCTGTGCTTAGGTGAAACACAGGCCATTGGAGTTCTATCAAAAAGAAAGACAGAATTTGACTCTGTCCAGATTGGGTTTTCAAGGAATGGTAACTGGTAGTCAGCTTTGGCCTAAGGTTACTCAGCGCTTATCCGTGAATAACCCTTTATAGACACTGTAATTAGAAGACACCACCAGGCCAGGCCAGGCCACCCCATCCTTCAGAGGCCTCTGGGTGCAATCTGCATAGGTTTCATCTTCAGACACCCCTTTGCTACCCTCCCCAGCTCATCCATAGGAACAAGCTTCTCTGTGAACTGGAGAACTTGACTTTCAAAGTTGTTTCTTTTGACTTGCTAAATAGAATTCCTCTTCTGACCTTATTCTCTGGCAGGATTTGTTCATCAGCCAAAGTCCACAATTTCTTCCATCTCAACATAAATAGCACTTCTTACTTTGTAGCATCACCGCTGAAGCTTTATATGTTTGCATGATGCTCCCCTCTACTGAAGCTCCATTATGGTCCTGGCTCGGCTTCTATCGAGTATGCTGTTTTGCATAATGACACTGATGTTGCATGTCCCTTTGTAAGCTCGCTTGTTTCTACTGATTTGCATTTTCCTCAGATGAGTTTGCAGTGAGGATCTTTGCCCTCCTACCTAGGACCGCCTTCCTTCCCAGCCCTTAAAAAGAGTCCCTGTGGCCCTTGGTGATCAAACATGAGCCAGGTTCAATGACAAGAAGTGGCGAGGACAGAGCAAGAGATAGATGGGACCCTTCAGCCTGCACACACGAAGTTCTCTGGACCGATTCCGACTTCAGAAACTCCAGTCTCCAGAGGCAGGAAGTCTACTGTAGACGGAAGTGAGGAACTGTGGTCCCGGGATGCTGTTTTCAAACACGGTGTTTTACCTGTGAGTGTATCTCAACCAATGGGAGAGAAAGGTATGAAGTTGCAGGCTAGTGCCTGAAAATTGTGTCTAACCCGTAGCCTACCGTGTCTACGCTGCAGGACAGTGAATGGGAGCCTCCAGGGGCCTGTGCTCTGTATGGGAACAGCACCCGTCACACACTGCAGTGCATGCGAAGACTGAAGACAGCTCCCCTGTATAGAGCCTCCTACTGCCATGTGTCCTCGGTGTTAGGAAACAGTGCCAAAGAAAACCATAAAGACTCTTAGGAAGAGAGGTGGAGCACACCAATTTATTATTCTAGGTATGCAGCTCTTGAAGCTTTGATGAGTAGAAAAGGCACCTTTTCTTCCAAATTAGATAGGATTTCTACCACCTGGTTTCTTCGATCCAGCCCCATAGCCCATGATTACTCACGGATCAGTGTTATTTCCCCACCTCCTGGGACATGCTCTAGACACTAGAAGTGCATCTCCCAAAGACACAGTCCCTGCCTCAGCGTGGGGCAGACGTCTGTGACAAACTCCACACTGGGCCTGTGTGGGTGGCGCCACACTCCCCCCGAGGTCTTCAGACTTGTTGCCATTTCCTTCCCATTACCCTCTCGGTGGCCCAAGAGCAGATCAAAGTTGAAACTAGTTTTCCTTTGCAACTATCCAAAGAAAACACTCCTGTTTCTTTCTTCTTTAGTCTCACACTCACAGCACTTCCAGCACTGGATAGACTGGATGGGCTTTCCACACACCAAGCCTGCTGATTCTCCGTGACACCTTCTGAATGTCTATAATTCCAACATTATCAGCCTGGAGTTCGTGTCAGGTCCCACAGGTTAAGGGCTCAGCCCCACAAAACCGTCCCCCTCTTCAGACGCCTGTTGCAATTCCCAGGTTGTCACTGGTACTTCTGACTGACTGGCTGTGAATTAGGGTTCCCATAAGCCCCTCTTTGGGTTCAATACTTTGGTAGAATGTCTCATAGAACTCAGGGGATCATTTCCTTACATTCGCCATTTTACTAAAAAGGACATAATAAAAGATACAGATGAACAGCCAGATGAGGAGATGTATAAGGCAAGACATGGGGGAAGGTGCTGGAATTTTTATGGGGGCTATCACACAGGCATGCTCCTTCATTACCTCAGTCTTCAGTCCTCTTCCTGGAGCACGGGAACGGGTGGAAAGTTCCAAACTTCTAACTATAGCGTGGTCTTTATCTCGCGACCAGGCCCCACCTAGGACCCCGCCAAGAGTGGCCTCACTAGAACAAACGGCAGTCCTATCACCCAGGAAGCTCCATGAGATTGAGGAGCTCTGAGTCAGGAACCAGGGACAAAGACCAAGCAAATATTAGAACAAAGGATGCTGCTGGAGTTCTTATCACTTAAGAAATTACAAGGGTGTTGGGAGCTCTGTGCCAGGAACCGGGGACAGACATCCACACACGCATTTTCTATCACTTCACAGCAGTGCAAATGGAAAACACCAAAGATCTCCATTTCTGAGCTGTCTAACCTCAACTAAGTTACTTAATCTTGAAATGCACTCATTCCCTCCCCCTCCCCCCCGCCACCACCACGAACATTCCAGTAATATTCACACACAGGGCTGCGGGTAAGAGTGAAAGCTCCCGGTCAGGTGGCGAGGGGCGGGGGTAGACCTGCCCACATAACGCCCAGCACACAGTAGGCACTTAAGAAATGTCAGCTGCCTTCCTCTTCAGGGTCTCCAAACTTCACTGTCGTCCCCTTTTAAAAGCTTAGTGTTTTCAGAATAAATAAACACAGGGTGGGGCAAAAGTAGGTTTACAGTTGTTTGCATGGAGAATGATACCGTAATGGATAAGCCAAGAGTAAACTCTGTGTTTCGCGTGCTCACAACTGTAAGCCCCCTGTCGCCCCACCCTGTACATAAAGGCGTGCTCTCTGTCGAGCCCAATGTAGCTCCACCAGTTTATTTTTTATTTGGTTGTTTGTGCTTTAGGCGTCATATCCAAAAAAATCACTGCTGAGACCCACGTCAAGGAGACTTCATCTTTTTTTTAATTTTTTATTTTTTTATTTTATTTTAATTATTGTTCAAGTACAGTTTTCTGTCCTTTACTCCCATCCCAGCCCACCCACCCAGCCCTCCCCACCTTCCTCCCATTTCCACCCCCCCTAGTTTTTGTCCATGTGTCCTTTATACTTGTTCCTGCAAACCCTTCCCTTTTTCCCCTGAAATCCCCTCCCCTCTCCCCTCTGGTCACTGTCAGACTGTTCTCTATTTCAGTGTCTTTGATTATATTTTGCTTGTTTGTTTGTTTTGTTGTTTAGGTTCCTGTTAAAGGTGAGATCATATGGTATTTGTCTTTCACTGCCTGGCTTATTTCGCTTAGCATAATGCTTTCCAGCTCCATCCACACTGTTGCAAAGGGTAGGAGCTCCTTCTTTCTTCCTGCTGTATAGAATTCCATTGTGTAAATGTACCATAGTTTTTTGATCCATTCATTTACTGATGGGCACCTAGGTTGCTTCCAGCACTGGGCTATTATAAATTGTGCTGCTATGAACATTGGGGTGCATAGGTTCTTTTGGATTGGTGTTTCAGGGTTCTTAGGATGTAATCCCAGCAGTGGAATTGCTAGGTCAAAAGGCAGGTTCATTTTTAGTTTTCTGAGAAAATTCCATTCTGTTTTCCATAGTGGTTGTACCAGTCTGCAATCCCACCAACAGTGCACTAGGGTTCCCTTTTCTCCACAACCTCAAGGAGACTTTATCTTATGTGTTCTTCTAGGAGTTTTGCAGTTTCGGGTCTTACAGTTAAGTCTGCAGTTAAGTGGGACAGGCTGATCTCTGTGACAGCGCAAACCCGGGTGGGTGGGGTTCCATGTCTCGTTCTGCCATTGATGTGTGTGGAAGGGGAGCAGACCACACAGGTCGGGGTTGAGCCGCAATGGGGCAGATGGTGGGAGGCGCCTCGTCCGGGGCCCCTGCCAGCAGAGCCTTGCCCGTGACCCTGGGCCTGGTCCACTTGACCTCGCTGTGCCTCCTCATCCACTTCCTCATGGGCACCCACTCAGCGGTTAAGGGGCCCCTCATCACAGCTCAGCAGCTTATCGGCTCGGTGACTTTAGGCTCAGCTACTAACTCCTTGAAGCTTAACATCTTTTCACCTAAGAAATGGAAATAGTGGTTCTATCGGCCTCATAGAACCGTTGTAAGGATGGAGCGGACCCAAGCACACAGGTTCAGCCAACATCAGATGCCCAGGAAGCTCTCCATGAAGGTGCATTTGTTCCTAGATAGAATAGAAACCGTAATCTTCACCTCGGAGGGTGAAGATTGGGCAGGTTGGAAGGAATAAAGCTGAGGAACTTCCCCGCCCACCCTGGCCATCTAGTGGAACCAACGGTGAGATCAGAGACACGGTGCCCGCAGCTGTCAGCAGTCGAAAAGGAGTCTGTGGAAACACCGTGCGGAGAGGCCGGACGTGCCCGCTGAACACCAGCACCGAAAAGAAAACACCAAATGAATGGGATTAATTTGCTTTCCCAAATGAAGTTAGGTGTTTCATCCTTCTCACCGCCTTGTACAGAACGGGGGTCCCAAAGCAGAACAGAGAGGTGAAAATGCCATAGGAGATGTTCAGATATGGGGCTGGGGGTTATTCCCAGGGGGCTAACCTGTGGGGTCACCTCTAGAAGGCTCCCAGGAGGTGGTGACAGCTCACCCGGCTGGGAAGCCAGCTAGAATTTGGACGTGCGACGATGGGAAAGATACCATCACCTCTGTGAGCAGTGTTGTGGGGGTGGCCAAGCATTGGAGCAGAAGGACAGGCGGTGTGAAGAAGATTTGAAAGGCGTGAGCTACAGGAAGTGAGGATCAGGGCACGGTGGCCTTGAATGCCGAGGTAAAGCGTGCAGCTTCACTCCCTAGGCAGCGTGTGCTCCACGGCGCCTGGAACAGTGACTGGAACAGCGGCTTGCCCATAGCCAAGGCTCCCTCAACTACCGAATGAATGCCAGCATGTCCTTGAATAAGGCAGATCTGGATCATGAAGGAGTGAACCCACATCCTGATCAGAGGCCTCTCGTCCCAGTCATCAGCCGTGGTGCTGGTCAAATAGAGCCAGGTGTAAGACCAGGTGGTCGGGCGTCTGACACCCAAGTTCATTTCTGGCTAATGCAGTGCATCCCCATGAACATTTATGGACCATCATCCCCCGCCCCAGGCAACCCCTCCATTTCTCTTACACCAGTACTCGCCCCTCTGTCCCTGCCATGGGGGCCAGAGCCCCAGGACTCGCCTTCCCTTTTGTGGCCGCTCTTCGATGCTCTCAGAGTGTGGGCAGCCCTTGGAGCGCACGTCGGGGAGCTGCCTTTGGCTCCACTGCTGGGTCTCAGCCCCCAGCCCCCCATTCCCCTGCTGCAGCTGCTGTGCCTTCTGCAGGCAGTAGACCATTTAGGAGCTGCCTGATCTCTTCCTTGTGGCCACTGAGGAGCTTTCACAGAGCCAGTTACAGGTGCCTGTGTTAGGAGGGAGCAAGCTGGGGGAGCGCTAGAAGGGCCGGGCTGGACTAGCCATGAACCACAGGCTCTGGGAAGATGGCTACCAGATTGGATGCTCTCTTTCAGGTGGGCCCTGTGTGGTGCCGGAGGCTGGACAGCCCCTGGGCACACAGTTCCTCTGGCAGCTGCTTGCCACAGCCCTCCTGGAGCCAGGAGCCTTCAGATGGACTTCACAGAGCTTGCTTGAAGAGCCACAGGTTTTGCTACAGCTGGAAGCCACGGCCCTCGAAAGCTGAGCTGCAGGTTGGTTACCGGGGCCAAGCACTCAAGCATGAGAGTGCTTGCCTGCCCAGACCATGTAGCTCCCCGCTGAGGGCGTGGGTGCAATCTGCAGGCTTCCCCCATGATGTCCGCATGTCCACTGCCATCAGGTCAGCCAACAGTCAGTTATTCGGTCTCCACAAGGAGCACCCCACCTCCTAAAAGAGAGAGGTGACTGCTTTTGGGCTCCTCGTTACTGCCCTCTTGCCAAAAGGGATGTTTCGTGTTATCTCTTTAAAGACACGCCATTGAGAAATTCTGCTCCCTAAGGGACCATCTAATGTCTCTCTGGAGTGTCGTGGCCTTAAAGACACAGCAGTCCTCTTGAAGAGGTAGAGCTCACTGAGCGTGGGGCCCTCTCGTCTCAGGGCAGGAGTCCCAGAGAGACTGGGCACAGAATGAAGGGGCACTAAGGTGTTAGAACTAAACTCCAAGTGCCAGTTCAACCCCTTCCTGCTTCAGCTGCAGAGGAGAGAGGGGCTGTGAGCTCCTCGGGGTGCAGAGCAAGGCAGCCACAGGCCCAGGCTGGGACCCGGGGCTCCTGACTCCATCACACCCTCCCTCCTGTGCATCAGACCTTTTCTATCAAAACGCCAAATGGTAAATAGTTTAGGCTTTGCAGGCCAGACAGTCTCTTCACTCTCAGGCAGCTCAGCCCTGGCCCTGTGGGGCAGGACCGGCACAGACAATGTGAAAGTGATGGGCGTGGCTGCGTTCCAGTAGAATGTATTGACCAACACAAGCAGCGACGGGGGTTGGCCTGTGAGCAGAGGTTTGCTGACCGCCACTCCGCAAACCAGAGAACTGGGCCTGGAAACTGGATCCCTCAGAGCGCGAGGGGAGAGCTTGCGTCCGCCCTGCACGCTGCCAGGGGGAGGGCAGCACCCAGGTGGGCTCCGGAACTGAACTCAGGGTCTCCAAGACTGTCCCCTGCACTTTACCGAGGCATTTTTTTAAAAGCTTTTATTTATTTATTTTTAGAGGGAAGGGAGGGAGAAAGAGAGAGAGAAACATCCATGTGTGGTTGCTAGGGGCCATGGCCTGCAACCCAGGCATGTGCCCTGACTGGGAATCGAACCTGCGATGCTTTGGTTCGTAGCCCACGCTCAATCCACTGAGCTATGCCAGCCAGAGCTTACTGAGGCATTTAGACCAGGACCAGAAGTCTAGCCAGAGGTTCTGGGACCTTGGAGCAAAGCAAAGTTGCCTGTGTGTTTCTATTGTCTCTGTTGATGCTGCTGCTGCTGCTGCTGTGGTTTCTGAAACTAGAGCTTCACGTGGATCAGAAAAGTGACTCAGCTGCCACGGCCATTGGGAAGACAGGGGCACTTATTGCCAAAGCAGATTTCCCTTAACCAACCTTGTATCAAGCGCTTGCCACATACTGGCATCATGACAGGTCTTTCAGAGGTATTCCATCCCACCGACCCTCGGGAGGAGGTAGAATGACCCCTGTTTCCAAAGGGAAAAGGGAGACTGAGATGCACAGGGGTCAGGGGTCTGCCCGGACTGCACAGTGTGGCCACAGTAGAACTGGGGTTCCAGCCCAGGCACGGGGAGTTTCTAGCACAGCAAGATGCTGCCCCATGTGCCTGGTTACTCACTCACGGCTGAGGGCGAGGACCGTTCGCAAATAAATGTCTCTCAACCGATGGTTCACAAAGATAAGACGCCCAGTGATCTCGGGAACTTTCTGTTTAGCGAAATTGAGATGAAATACGAATTGCATTCGTATGCTAACATGTGTGAAACTTAAAGACAATTATTTTATTGTTGATGATCTCCCAGTTATCACCTGGCATGCCCTTTTTCGATCAGGCTGGGAAAGCCTCCCCGGTATTCTGGGGGTGGGGGGTGGGGCGCCCATTCAGTGCGCTTCAGTCCGCAGGCGCAGTCTCCCTGTTGCTGTGTCCCGCTCCCCTGGGCCGTTCTCTCTGGGAGCCTTGCCCTCTGGCTGGGCTTCCTGGAGGCCGCTCTGTCCCCACTCCCGCCTCAGAAGAGGGCCTCACCCTCAGATGGTGAGGGGCAGGCATGAGTCCCAGGCCCTTCAATGGCTTCAGGGAAAGTTGTGCCTTTGAATCCCAGGTTCCTCCTTTCCCAGTCCCGTTCGAGGAGGGCCCTGCTGTCTGTGGGAGTTTCTCCCACACATCAAATAGGCCAGCGGTTTTATGACTCCGCCACAGCCCTGTCTGAGCTCTCCTGTAAACCGGGGTTAATTAAAGCCAAATGCTTTGATATGAAGACGCAGTTCCTTTGAGAATCCCCCGTACGTGTAGCACTGGGTCCAGTTTCCAGAAGGTCCGGGTGCCGGTGGACATATTTCCCGAAGTCTATGCCCGAGGCGTCCTCATCCAGCAAATAAGAGAGATGCGCTCGGCAGGAGGATAGCTCAGGAGGTCTCTAGCTCGGAGGTACCGTCCAAACACCAAAGAGGGTGCCCATCCATGCCCAGCAGGGGGCGGCACTCCTGGCCCTGGACTGTGGGGCTTGGTTTCACATAAAAAGCTTTAACGGGTGTTTGAGTGGTCAGACAGGTCTCGGCAAGTCGGAGTCACACACAGGTGTGGGAACAGGGGCCAGGTCGGGCTGGACAACCTGTGCTGGGGCAAAGGAGCCTGCAGGAGTCGGCATCTGGTCCAGGGGCCTGGACCCCGCCCCCCCCCGCCCCCCCCTCCGCCCCGTCCTGGAAGTCCTGCGTGATTGCTCCCGCCGCAGCTCCGGCCACAGCCTGAGGTCTGCGCTCTTCCTGAGCCAAAGGTGCAAAGAATAAGGAGATTCTGAGGTTGGAGGTTGCTCATTGTTATTTGAAAGGGAACTATACTCCCAGGGAAGAATTGCAGCATCTCAGAGAAAATGTCTCTCTCCTCAGGGCGGTGAAAGATGGGGAAAGAGGAAATATTTATTAGCCTGAAAGAATAACAAGCCTTGGTGCTTGGAGAAAGCATAACAAACTCGGAGAGACCCGCTAGGCTTGGCATCGGAAGACCTGGCTCCAGTCCCCACCTGTCGGCTGTGTGTCCGTGAGCACATTTTTCCATCGGTCTGGGCCTCCGGAATCCCCGTCTGGAACGGGGCGGGAGAGGCGGGGCCAGATCCTCGGGAAGGTCCCTCTTGACTCTGACAGTCTGGCCTGGCACCATCCAACACACTTTCTACAATAACAAAAACATTCCCCATCCGCACTGCCCAGCATGGTACCACGAACCACACACGAAGGTGCTGAGCACTTGAAATGATGTGGCTGGTGCCACTGAGGAGCTGAACTTCTCCGCTTGACTTCGTTTTATTTCACTAGACATTCAGTAGCCCCGTGTAGTTAGCAGCTGCCTCATTGGACCGAGTGGGCCTAGGATTCTGGAACCAAAGATTTAGTTCTGCTCAGTCGCTTGTGGTTGTCAAGCTAAGCACATTCTAGACCATTGCACAGGAATTGAAGGGAAGCACCGCTGGTTTGTACTCAGAACACGCAGGTAGCCAGAAGCACCCCCACCTGACGCCACACTTTGGCATTTCAGCTCACCAAAATTTTGCGCGTGCGCGCGCGCACACACACACACACACACACACACACCAGGAACCATAGCTGTGTGTGTGTGTGTGTCTCCAGTCAGGCTCACGACTCTGTCTGCCAGGCTTGTAGACTCATGTCCAAACAGCCCCAGGCGGCTTCAGGATCCAATCCATTTCTCGTAATTTCTTGGCAAGTCCAGAGGGCAGATCCTTAATGAAAACATCACCTCAGCTCATTAAGGAAGATTAGAGTATAGATTTGGAGGGTGAGGTGCAAAAAGGTGCCCCAGATTCCTGCTCCCGGCTTTCTCCTCTCTATCTGCCATTGCCCAGCTGGGTCCTGCACTGAGTCCCTCCAATTGCTCCCTTGTTTTCCCATTGCCACTGTCATTGCCTTAGCTGAGGTCCCTCCCAGCCTCTTCCGCACCATTCATCAGCTTCCTCGCTGCCTCTCCGCCCCCCCCCCGCCCCGTTCACACTCCTTTGGGAAACTTGCTAAAACATACCGCCCCTCATGTCACCCTAGGCCCTGCAGCAGCCCCCCCCTCCATTGCCTGCAGGAGGGAGTCCAGGCTCTTTTGGGGGTAACCGAGGCCCCCCACGGTCTGACACCTTCCTACCATGTCAGCTTTATTTCTACCAGTCTTGCCCAGGAACCTGCTGCTCCAGCCAGCAGGGCCAGCCCAGGACCCCAGGCAGGACCCCGGCTTTCCCGCAGACCCCGCTCAGCTGTACCCCTCTGTGACTCCGCAGACATCCCCCCTTGACCTTCCAGGTCGGTCTCAAAGGCCACCACCAGCTCCATGAAGCCTCCTCTGCTCCCCCAGCACTTTCTTCCAGACTTTGTCAGTGTGTACATTCTTTCTGGGTAGGAATCCAGCAGTGTAGCACAGTGGTTAGAATAATGCTCCAGCAGAAGCAGGTAGACCTGGGTCCAAATCCTTGTCCTTGCCTGTAACTTGGGGCAACTAACGAAACCATTCTCTGCACCTCAGTCCCCCACCTCTAAGACGGACATGATTCCTTCCCTACAAGGTGGCCATGAAAACCACACAGGTTCATCTGTGTAATGTGCTCAACGCAATACGGGGGGCAAGTGAGTGCTCGGTAAGTGGTGGGATG